CGAAAAGTCCTACTTCGAGTATGCATAATAGCTCGGGTGATGAGATCGCTTTGACAAAAAATAAAGGGAGCACGCCATACTTTGAACAAAAAAGAAATTTCATTACCATTCCAAAAAAAAAAATCGAGCTAAACAGCTTGAGAAAGTTTAACATGTGGTAAAAGGGCACAACCGTCCAACAAGATCTTTTCAAGACTGGGTTTATGGCACCCAGGAGCCACCAGAAATCAGAGCAGAAAACCAGCGCCGCCAGCCTCAGGGGTCCACCTCCTCCACCTCGTCCTCATCCTCCGGGGAGTCAGGCTCTTCCTCCTCCGCTTGGTCCGCCGTCTCGGGAGACAGGCCCTTCATGGTGATGCCGTCAAGATTGAGCCCAGAAAATTTCTTTCAGACCAAGCAGCGGCAGAGCTTGAATCCGGAGTGGTACGAGCTCGAGCCATACTCCACTTGGAGGTCGTGATACTCTTGGGAGTCCTTGAAGTCCCATACCGCTCTCTCCTGCTCAGCCTCCACCATGTTGTCGAAGTTCCGAGTTCGGTCTAAAAGAGTGGACTCCAAGTCCCGAACCTGTTGACGAAGGAGCTCCCTCTCCGCGGTCACCCTCGACGACTCCTCCTATAGCGCGCACTCTCCTCAGAAAGCCTAACGATCTGTGCCTCCTGGTCCTGGACGAGCTGCTCTTGGGACTCGCTCCCCTTACGAGTGTGATGGAGTTCGCCCTAGGTCCGGTCGAGCTCGCCTTGGAGCTTCTGAACGATGACCCTCTGGTTGCGAGCGTCGCCGGAGTGGATATTCATCTGGAGGGCCATGGCGTGGATGGCGGAGTTCACCTGCCAACAGGAAACTAAGTTCAGAAGGCAGCAAAAGGAAGCAAAAACAAGGAGAGGGAAAGGACCACTTACCACCATACAGTGAGCAGAGGCGAGCCCGGCAAGGTCCCCGGGATCCATCTCCCCCTACTAAGCGATCTCCTCGTGGCAGATCGCCCTTCGGCTCTTCCGCCTGACCACTACATAGTCATTAATACCCTCCCAGTTCCCCATTGGGAGCCGCGGGTAGGGGAACGGCTGAGAAGGACCAGGAGGAATCACCCCTTGTTGAGGGAGTTCGCCCTCCTCGAGGCCAACTCCGCCCGCACCTCCTTCAGATGGAGGCAACAGAACTTCAGGCGGCGGGGAAGTGAAGTCTGGCTTCGCAGACCCGAACTCAATACCCCTAGAGGTGGAAGTCCGGTCAGGACGCGATCTCTTCACTTTGCGCTTCTGGTTGCTTGAGAGGAGGCGGCGCACGTCAACACCAGACATGATGGCTGCCAAAAAGTCCACAAGATATTAGTTCGGTAAGAAACAAAATGTATGTATACGCAATATTGTTACAAGGCACTACGCAACCTAAAAAGGCAACCTATCCGGGCTCAAACCGGCCTACGCGAGCTTCTCCTCGGTCAAGTAGTCCGAACAGAGGAAGCCTACCGATGCTCAGGACAGCATCGTTTTCCGAGTTTCAGGGTCCAGCTCGGCCTCGGGGTCCTGGATGGCGCCCCTCCAAGAAGTTGGGAAGGGCCACCCCTCGGGGTTGCAGACCACAAAATAATTCCGCTTCCACACGGGAATCTTATTTGGTAGCTCGTACAAGAGCTTGTAGCCGCGGCGGGGAGAGAGGTAGTAAAAACGCCTTTGCAGAGGAACTCTAGGAGCGACATTTTTAATACAAAGAATAGAAGCAAAAATGTCAAGGTTCAAGGGGAGGCAGTACTCATAACACAAAGAAATGGTCCCAATCATGTTCCGGATAGCGTTGGGATGAAGTTGATCGATGGTAACATTGAAGTGGTTTAGCACCTCCACTATAAGGGGGTGTAGGGAAAGACGCAGGCTAGCCTCGAGCTGTTCCTGGTAAATAACTTTCTCATCGGGACCATGCTCCCAAGGAAAATTACCAGTGGGGAGACTGTAGACGAGGTCCCCAGGAAGGTGAAAATAGCGGATTAGAGACCTGAGTCTCTCCGCCGTCATAGAAAAAGGACCGAAGGTGTCAGGCTCCTTCCCCCGAGAAGTAGAGGCCACATCACCAGAGGTCTCCCGAGCCTCCGAAACCTACTCCCAAGCTCCCCTAGAGCTCGAGGGAGCGTCGTCATCCTGGTTACTGTCCTGGTAATAGGTATGGTACGGATACCGATACATGATTGACAGCGATTGAGACTCACCGGGAAAGGCGAAACGAAGCGAACGAAAGAGCTCGGGTAGGCTAGAAAGGTGCGCGACCTCAGAATCCGAAGATAGCAAGATGGCATGAAAGGAAATGAGGCCTAGAGGGCCCTCCTATTTATAGCCACTACGCCCCCGAATCAACGGCCCATATTAAGGCAGATCCAACAGTTCGTAGTCAAGCTAACCGCACACCTTCTGAAATTGAAATGTGACTGGCTGCACATCTCCCATGATTGAGGTAATGGCGGCAGCACGACATCCGGAGTTAAGAGCCGCTTCAGCACATTTTCGGTATTCGAAAAGTCAGAAATCCCCTGATTCCCGCGCACGCATTTAATATGAGTAGTCAATCAAGTTTGAATTTCGGTCAAATCAACCTGTCACACTTCATGAACTCCTCACGCTAAGGCAGAACTCTTAGCCCAAGGAGTGGAGGGCAATTAATAGAGGATGATTTGACCCAACCTACTGAGATGATGACACGTGGATCTGACTCAGCACGAGCAACAGCTCAGCGTCATGGCCTGATCCTAGCTAAGTAACGAGCTTGTAGAGCAGCTCGCTACGTCATAGCTCGCTATAGGGGGAGCTCGCTACAACGCGAGCTCCAGGTCCCCCGAGCTACCGAGAATAAGGGAATACTCCAAGACTATTTCAACTCGAGAGCTAGGAAAACCAGCTCGCTCCAGCGAGAACTGCCCCAAAGACCAACCTTGATGAGGGTCACCTCGAAATACTCCTAAGAGCTCTACAAAGTAGCTCGCTGCACGACAGGGTAGCTCGCTGCAAAGTAACTCGCGACTAAGCAACGCGACACTCTTAGGAAGCTTCTATCTGACAAGACCGTACTCGTCAGACTGCACCACGTCTCTCGACTGACGGCGCAGTCCCTGCCCATTTGACAGTCTGCACCCACGTCTTTCGACAGATGGTGGCGTGCCTGTCCCTTTAAAACGTGTCACTCATCCAAGCAGGCAGTACATTGTAACGATCACCTGCGCAGCCCTGGCAGGTAACGACTGCGGCAGAAGCCTAGTGGCGGTTATGCCCGATTTGACAAGAACGCCCCTATAAAAGCCATTTTATCGAAGAGGAGAGGGCTCTCTGGAATGAGATCTGAACTTGGACTCTTACTTGCTCACGAGCTAATCTCGAGACATAGTGATCTAGTGCGACTTACACTCTTAGCCTTTTACACTCTTTTCTTCCTCCCCAGCGTTCTAACTTAAGCTTCGGAGTATTCCCACCGGGAAAATTCCCCGGGGATCCTTCATCTTCCTCTTCTCAAGTGTCGTTCGCTACCAACAAGGAGTCAGTCAGCAGCCAGCTAGGAGTGCCCGGATCATGCCGAATCAGGAATCTTTTCCTCTGGCCATGTCGCACAGCCCTTGGGCAAAGCTTCTGAAAAGAACCCAGGACCAAGACTCAAGAGGCAAACGACCAGGTGAAGATAAAAACAACATATTATGTGAGTTCTCACCCAAGAGGCAATGCTGCCATCCATTTACTTAGCTACTTCTTGCTCTGTTTTCTGGTGTTTCAAGGGTTGATTAAGTTCCCAATGTGGTAGACAAAACAAAGTTACCAGATTTCATGCCACACCAAGGTATTGCAACTGATGCATTGCTGGACAAGAAATGTTCACAAGACCATATGCTCTTTACTTGGAAGGGTGCAGATCCATCCTGACTAATGCAGTTCCAGATATAAACATTAGAATCCTCACTTGCTGGTACAGTACAATTTCCATCTGGTGCAAAAAGATGCAGATATCTGCTTCTTGAATTTACTAGGCCTGAGGATAGAAAAGCAGATAAAACATAAGGAAAAAGTTGAACAAAAATAATACTGGGTGATCACCATAGGTTTCAGCTTCAAACAAGAGGGGGTGGGGATGGGGTTGGGATGGGCATTCTGGGATCCCAACTGCCACAACTGCCACTAGTTCAGCCCTTGGAGAGTCACCTTCTCCAATTGGGCCAGAGAAGAGTGCAATGAAGTTTCCTTCCTCATTCCTAAAAGCACCTCCAATTCCTGACGGCCCTGGATTTCCAACACTACTCCATCAATATTTAACTTGATATACCCATTGCTTGGGGGGGGGTCCAAGAAGGAATTAAAAGACTGCTCCCATCAATATTTAACTGTGAACTCAAAGGCTTCCCAAAAGCCATTCCTGAAAGATAATCTGTTCAATCCCTTCTTTGAGAAGCAAGACCAAATGCAGGTGTTGGATGGTTATTTCTTCCCCATAAAACATCATTAGTTTCAATGCTTTCAAGTTTCCCAGAAAAACCATAAAATAGGTTAATGATGTAGTGGATTTTAAACTGAGAGCCACCTTGAACTCTAGCATTACACTATTTTCTTTGGGTTGAAAGTGTTTTAAAAAATGTATATTTTTCTTTGTGGCAAAGTGGAATTGACCATTAGTGATGCCAACATGAGTTTTAGTTGGTGCTTATGATAGTTATCTTTCAAGTTTACTTTGTTATAAATAGTTATCTGAAAACACATTACATAATTTACCATAGCATCAATGAAAAGTAAATTTATTTATCAAAAATAAATAAAAACAGTAATTTTATGAGGGCAAGCCTGCTAATGTTACTTGGGGGCAGATGGTGAATGGACAAATCTATAATTCAAGAGGAGGGTGGGGGTTCACACTCAAAGTCTTTTGAAATTCTATAGGTGCATGTGCAATTGCTAACAAAGAGAGAGCGACAGCATACTGGACATGGTGGGTGCTTTATTTGTTTGTAAGGAGAGGCCCTAAAACAGAAGTAGTGAAAAAAACAAATCTCATTGCTCATAGACAAAAAAAGGGAAAAACTTTAGAAGATAGAAAAAGTTTCACATAAATAATCTTCTGAGATAAATGTATAACAAATACTAAACAAGGTATATAAATCATGTTCATGCAGAACTCCATGCAGGATCCTTCTTTACCCCAGTTCCCTTCATCAAACTTCTAATCTTGAGGACTTCTTCCCAATGGCCCACATCAGCAAAGATGTTTGACAAAGACACATATGCCCCATCATCACCAGGGTCCAACTCAAAAACCCTTTTGGCAGCCAGTTTACCAAGCTCTATATCACCATGTAGTTTGCAAGCACCAAGTAGAGTGCTCCATATCAAAGCATCAGGTTTAATAGACATATTACCAATAAACTGTTCAGCCTCTTTAAGTCTCCCTGATCTACCAAGCAGATCAACCATACAGGCATAGTGATGGAGACCTGGAGCAAGTCCATAGTCATTTCTCATTGAATTCAAATGGAAATACCCTTCTTCCACCAAACCACTGTGGCTACAAGCAGATAAAACGCCCACAAAAGTCACAGAATCAGGTGCTACTCCTTGTTCTCTCATGAGGTCATAAATTCTTAAGGCTTCCTCACCTATTCCATGTTGAGCATAGCTCATGATCATTGCTGTCCATGTGACCAAATCAGGTTTGTCAATTTGATCAAACACTTTACGAGAATCATCAATACTACCACATTTGGAGTACATTGTAACAAGTGAACTGCCTACAAGAAGGTCTGAACGCAATCCCACTTTCACTGTGTAAGCATGTAACTGATTACCTAGGCAAGAATTTGTTAAGCCTGTAACTGCACAAAGAACTGATGAGACTGTGAATCCATCAATCTCCAAACCTGTCACTAGCATCTCACGGAACATCAAAACTGCTTCCTCAATATATCCATTTTGGGTGTACCCTGAAAGCAAGGATGACCATGTTACATTATCTTTTTGAGGCATCACTTCAAACACTCTTCTAGCATATACTAGGGCTTTACACTTCGAATACATAGTTATAAGTGCACCACCAACAAGTATCTCTTTGGTAACTCCTACACGAAGAGCCTGTCCATGAACTTCTTTGCCTTTCTTCAAGGACTGAAGAGAAGAACAGGCAGTGAGAATAGCAGTTAAGGAAATTTCATCAGGTCTGATTTCTTCAAGCACCATCTCACGGAACAGATGAAAAGCCTGATCTGCACAACCATGTTCTGCAAAACCAGTAATCATTGAGGCCCATGAAATTTCGTCCTTGTCATGGATTTGTTCAAAAATTTCATAAGATTCTTCTAAGCTCCCACATTTGGAGTACATTGTGAAAAGAGCACTTCCAACAGAAACATGAAAAATCAACCCAACTTTAAAAATGTAACAATGGATCTGTTTCCCAAGATATAAATGGTCAACAATACTTAAAATACTAGAACTACAAAATTCATCAGGTCTCAAACCTCCCTGAACCATCCTCCTAAATAATTCAATTGTCTTTCCTGGACTCTGGTTCTGAGCGAAAGCAGATATAATAGCTGCCCAAGCACTCAAGTTGTTGGCATACCCCATCTCACCAAATACCATCTCAGACAATTCAACTGCTCCTATTTTTGCATACATATTAATCAAAGAGCCCATCACCGTGGAATCCAAATAAAACCCAGTTTTTATAATCAAAGAATGTATTTGGATAGCCTCTCTCACCATTTCAGGATTAGCACAAGCAGTGAGCACGCTTGTGATTGTGTAAGTATTAATTTCTTCCCCAATTGCTCTCATTTCTCTAATGAATTTTAGAGCAGAAATGTAATCCTCTTTCTGAACAAAACCAGAAATTATGGCAGTCCAAGAAACTACATTATGGACTGGCATACATGAGAATTCCTTCACAGCTTCACCAATATCACCACACTTGGCATAAAGATCAACAATAGCAGTTCCTACAAAGATATCTTCTGCACCACATTTGATCACCCACCCATGAACCCCTTTACCAATCCCTAGTTCTCCAAGAGCAGTACAAGCTGTCAAAATGCTTGAAAATGTAAAGCTGTTTGGCATCGAGAACCCACCTAACATTTGATGAAAAATATCTAAAGCTATTATGTTCTCTCCATTCTTAACAGCGCCAGCGATTATTGCGTTCCAACATACCACATTCTCACATAGAACATCTTGAAATACTGTCAAAGCATTTTTGAAACTCCCATTTTTTGCAAACAAATCTATCATTCCAGTCCGGACATATCCATTAGTAAAGTAGCCATTTTTTATTACGCGAGAATAAATCTGGTGACCAGAAAAAGTAGCATGAGAGGCAGTGCAGGCTGAAAGAATACTCCCATAGGTGAACTGATTGGGGTCAAACCCAGAAGAAATCATTCTGCAAAAGATTTTCCAGCAATCCTCATATTTCAGGTTATGGTTGTAACCTGAAATGATGAGATTCCAAGAGATAACATTTGGGCTAGGGATTTCATCGAACAATCGGGTGGCATCGTCCATTGCTGCACATTTACAATAGCACTCAATAACAGAGTTGGCAACGAAGACATCGGACTGAACAAGGGACGTCTTCGTGACGTGAGCATGAATTGATTTGGTCTCTCCGACTGTGGGATTCCGTGTTCTGGTTGGGTCACTAAAGAAGCCAATTGGGTTAAAAGGTGTGCGACATTTGCCATGCCCACCTTGAAATGTTAATGGGATTTCAAGAAGTGAGAGGGAAGACACGTATCTGATAGGGAAAATTGAAACCTTTGTCAAGAAGGTTTGGCCATTGCGGAAACTCATTTGGTTCATGTCCGGAGGAGAGACTTCATTTTGTTCTGTTCCAACACGAAGTAGTTTTGTCAGAAGTTTGATCAAGCTGACCTTTTGATTCGCGGGCGCGAGAACAATGGATTATGAATGATGAAGGCCTGGATCCTCCAATGAGAATGAGCAGAGCAAGTAGAAGCAGTTCCATAATTGATAAGTTTGAAGCTTCTGAGCAAGCCAATAAACACCCAGTGAATGCTCATACCTTGAACGTATAGCCCCAGGATAAACCATTTAAAAAGTCAGACCAGAAAGAAGCATGAAGCGTTATTTAAGAAATGAGCAATACCAAATTAATTAAAAAAATCTTTTTATTTTAATTTGCGACAGAACCTCAACTATTACATTTATAAAGAGGATTGTCTAATTAGCTATCACTTTCTGCTAACCTATTAACAAAACACCTTCAATTGAGAACAGAGAGGAGCCCGTTAATCAACTGCCCATCACAGAGCACAGGGGGCTCGGTCCTAGAGCTGTAAAACGGGCTTTGCACTCACCGCCCGGCACGACAAAATGTGGGCCATTCTGGGTTGGGGTTTCATGTCCATGGGCCGGCACAGCACAGCCCGCAGCAAAAATTGTATGTATTTTTATTCTTAAGCAATTATTTTTCTTCTTAATGATGTTCATTAATTAATGTTAAAATCGAATACTAAAATTTATATACTAACAAATATTAATAAAAATTATATTGATTTTCTAAAAATTAATACACATTTTACTTCTTCCATTATCTTAAACATTTACCAATTTGTCCTATATCTCACATTTTATATAAACTATTGATGTATGGGTTTGTATGTTTAAATAACTTGTTTCCTTTATAAGTGTTTAAATGACTTATTTAAAATCATATAAAACTTATATTTATTGTTATTAATGCATTTTTTTAGATTTATATATAAGTTTCTTAATGTATATATCCATGTGAATTGAATCTTGATTTTTCGTATGTATCCATGTGTACCTAAAATGTATCCTGAAACATCTCTTAAAATTGTCATTGCGATACACCTCACGTTTCTAATACTTTGAACTTTGTTCCAAGAAACTTTCCATTGAAAAGATTTATCGACTTCTTTCACTTTCCTTACATATAAACCTTTCATCGACTTGGGGGAACAAATAGTTTCGTCATAGTTTGCGCAACAAAAGTCTTTCTTCTCCCTACCAAAATTCTACCAAAAGTTCCTTTGAGTTTTATCAATTTGATCATTCATTCTGTGTAGGAGATGAAACACAGATAGGGGCAACTTGCAAAACTGATTTAACCAAAACTAACTTGCCTGCCTAAGAAAGATTTGTTGCCTTCCAAGCATTTAATTTGCTAGATAGGTTATCCAACACAAAACTAAGAGAAGGCAACTTTTTTCTTCCAAAAAAGAGTTGTTTCCTAATTAATTTCTCACCCTTATGACTAACGTTTTCATGCTTTGAAATTTATCAAGAATATCTAAAAGATTGGTCATAACCTAACCTCCCTAGATGCTCTAACTAGCAAAAACACAGCATCAGCTAAAAATAAATGAGAAACTAGGGAATAAATCTATTAATTTTAACACATTTACTTAAATTTTGATCTTTACTCAGCAGTCTCGATAAACCTTCCATACCCAAAATAAAGAGATATAAGGCAAAGGATCCCCTTGCCTTAACCCATGAGAAACTGAGGAGATATAAAAAACACAAGGTCACATCTTTTACTTGTGTTTTTTACTCAGCATGTCACTTTTGTTTCCCAATAATACCTCCAAAAGGTTATTCCACCTTTTACTTGAGCTATGATGGTCATATAATAATAATAATAATAATAATAAAATTAATTCTTTAATTATATAATTATTAATGAATTAATATTTATAAGTTATTATTATTTTATTAATTATCCATGAATTATTTAATCACCTATTTAATTATTTAATTATTTGTATTGATTATTTTATTATAAGAATTGATAATTTAGATTAATTTAAGAACATATAATTATTAACTATTAATAATAATTATTGATTATAAAGAATAATAATTAAGTATTACTAATAAAGAAATTAATTTTTTAATTAATAATTGTGTAATTATTTATTTGAAATGTACTCTAATTAATTAATTAATGTTTAATTTCTTAAAAATATTTAATAATTAATTATTTTTATTAATTACACTATTTGTTATTTATTTTATATTCATTTAGTTAATTGTTAATTAGTTTGTTAAGTGGTTAAATAAATTATCCCATATCTAGGGTTAAAATGGCCAATTGTCGTTTTTAAGAACTCAACATTCAAATTTCAAAAAATATTCTTTACATTCAAACTTCAAAACTAAAAAAAGTTTACCAACTCCAATACACCTCTAAAAGTAATTATTACAATTTTAGAAGCATTCAGATGTCAAACTTTAATGCAAGGAATTAAATTGGTAGCTCATCAAGGGTTTCCAAATATAATAGTTGAAGGGGATTGCCAAACTATCATTGGTTAAATGAATTCTTAGGATCGAGTACATTGGAAATTTAGAATGTTGGTTAGTATGTAGAGGATGTGTTGTACTTGGCCCACTCACTATGATACAAGTTGGGTGGTTGTTTCTCTCTATTGATGGGGGTGATCATTTCTAGTCTAGCCTGGGCCAGCCCGCAATATATGTATACAATATATATATATATATATATATATATATATATATATACACATATATATATATATATATATGTATAAATATATTATTTAGCAAATAATAAAAATAAAAAAAAAAATTCACTATGCAAAAAAAAAAAAAAAAAAAAACTTTACAAAAAATGGACACCAAGATCAACCCATATGTGTGATCTGATATATACGCCATTAACTAAGAGCTCAAAACTTGGGAAGATGGTTAGTGGTAGTTTGGGTTGTTAGAAATCAAACTACGATACAGGCAATCTTTGTTATTTGCTCTTAGCAGCTAACATAGACAAAGGAAGAAAAGAAGATTATAGGTGCTACCTATCACTGAAAAAAAAAAAACATAAAAGAAGAGTAATAAAAGGTGTTGTAGATTTGTTTGATAGGCAACTGGTTTTAATGAAATGCATTTGTGCAGAGTGTATTTTTTGTGAAAAGGAAAAAGAATGTTGAAGAGAGGTGGGGATGTCAGAAAATGCTATGAAAAGTGAACAAGAAAGATTACATAGTATGCCCTTAAATGTTTATGAGTGCTGGATTGCATGATTATCACATGGACATATGTGGCAATATTTTCTCCTCAAAGTTAAGAAAAAGGAAATTCGAAATGTGTACCCTAAGGGAATGTAGTTTTGTACTTTTGGAATAATCATGCAATTGATAAAGTTAAAAAAATACCTTTTATCAAGAAAATATAAGGAAAATAACTGTTAAGCACACTCTAAGAATTCTTAGCCCCACAATACAATTGGGGTAGGTGCCAGCTCGGAATTGATGCCAGACCATGGGCGAACATTGGTGTTTTAGGATGGGGTGTTTGTCATTTTGAGTTGTATAAGGTTGTAGTGGAATTCAGATTCTGCAGTGTGGTGCAGTGTGCTTTTTTGGAAAATATATCAAATAATAGACTGTTCTTTTGTGCTATAGTCTCAATATGCTTAATTGTGCTAATGAGGAAACCACAAAATTTGAACTAAATGCATGTAGGAGCAACTCTTGTGATTAAGTATTTTTGCTAGCTTCTTTCTCTCTTACTTTTTGTGCCCTTTTTTTTGGGGGGGGGGGCTGGGTGGGAAGGATGACTGGATCTTAACCAAAAGATGAAAGATTGCAGCCTTTGATATTGCTTTTATTAAGAAACTCTACCATCATCATATGAAAACCTAACAAACTCACTAGGTAGTAAGAAGGGACTAGAAGATTTGAAAAAAAAAAAAAACAAAGATGTTGATAATGTTTTTTTTTATTAAAAAGAATAAAAGATTGTGATTAGAGTTGGCCTGTGTAGAGACTATAAAATCTATCTATAGGGCTACTTTTGTACTTTTACTCTTCTTTGTTGTATAAATATACTTTGTACTATCTTTATCTTGTACATTAAGGGCAGATTTGTCATTTTACCTTTTAATATAAATATATCTCTCTTCTGACTTTCGAATTGACTCTGACATGGTATCAAAGAAGGTTACGACCTGAACTTCACATAACATCCCAGCTACAGCTGATTCAAGAACTCCCTAATAGTATTTGGAAGTTCTTGAGTGTCCTTTTTAATCCTCTTCCTGGGTTAGCTATAGATCTGTTGTCTAGACTGTTGTGCCATCRGATTCACCTTTCTTCTCAAATCTCCTTATAGAGACATCGGATCAGCCTGAAATTTTATATCTAGTGTAGCCCAGAGCAGATCTACTAAATCCCTTTGGTTTGGTTTGGATAGGTTTTGTCTTTGAAGGGTTTTGATCTACTCTTCAGTTCGATAGAACTATACAGTTGCCTTTTTTGGACATCAATAGGAAGGTATTCTTCTCTTCCTTCTCTGGTTCAAATATCTTTGGTTTCTGGAAGTGTGTGTTGTTGCCTTTTGTCTCCCAATGGCATTAAAAAGGATGGAGATTCAATGGTACAAACTACACACTATGGAAGTTCAACTTTTAGTTTCACATTGAAGCTAAGGGTCTTTGGGGATACATAGATGGATCTGCATCTAAACTTGATGACTCTAACATAAAGGGACTTAATCAATGGAAGATCGACAATGCCAAAATTGCGTCATGGATTCTAGGCTCAATCAAAACTGATATTGCTATCTCCATGAGAGGGTGCAGGACAACCTATGAGATGTATCAATATCTTGAGAAAGTTTATCAGCAATCAAATACCTCTAGACAGTATCAAATAGAGGTTGACATTTTCTCATACTATTAGGGAGATAGAAAGGTCCAGGAATACTATGCCAGATTCATCAACCTTTGGATAGAATATGAGTTAGTTCACATGAGAGAGGATCCCTCGAACTGTTGTGTTAAATACATGAAGGAATACTTTGACAGGAGAAAAATTATGCATTTTCTAATGCATATAAGGCCAGAATTTGAAGTTGTCCAATCTAATATCCTAAGCTGAGGAACTTCCTGACTTAGATACTATCCTTGGAGAGATTTTGAGGGCGGAAACTAGATTGACTACATAGACTACACTAGATGGAAGGAAGGATTCCAACGTTAATGCTGTCTTCCTAGCAACTAAACCGAAAAGGATGAAGGATTTTTCTAAGTTACAGTGTTATGAATGTAAGGAGTATGGGCACATTGTCTTCCATTGTAAGAAGAAAA